GCAGGACTGGCCTAAGTATTACTTTTAATTAGTTTTCTATTGGTTTTAAAGGATACTAATTGGCCTATTGCAATATTTTATTTTAATTGATTTTAAAATGTGGTATGTTTTTTGTATTTGTTTACTTGTTTTTAACGGGCTGTAAGCCGCCCTGAGTCCGCAAGGAGAAGGGCGGGGTAGAAATCTAATAAAATCAAATTAAAATCAAATCAAATCAAACTGATATCCATTCTAAGTAGATGAGACTAAAGAACCCAACAACGTTTTCTTTTATGCATCTTTTTCTTAAAAAGCTTAGGATCAGGATTTCCATCAGATCCTTATAAGTCACACAGCCCTCAGATTCATTTTAGGTAACCTTTTCCTAATCTAATATTCAAAATTTGGGCTGAGGAGCACTGGTCCAAATCAGCAGTAAAGCTGACATGCAAAGGCATGCAGTATTCTTTCTGGTGGTGTAGTTATTTACACATATTTTGTTGGTAATGAATGTTTTGGCACTACCTTGAGATCTTATTCTTGGGAAGTATTTCTGGAAGGGGATTATCCAGAAAGTTCTGATAGCAGCTGTTGGCAAGGAAAGATAGTACTTGACAAAACAAGATCAAATTCAGTTGGTGCCACTTATACCTGTACAACGTTAGAATTGTGCAGGCATATTGCAATGTTTTATTAAAGATAATTCAGAACAGTCATCTGGCTTTTGCACTTTTCCCAGAAGACAGGTACCTTTTGGGATGGAAGGTATTATTTGGATTTTCAGACTATATAAGAATAGAATAGACTAACAGATTTGGAAGGGACCTTGGAGGTCTTCTAATCCAACCCCCTGCTTAGGCAGGAAATCATCACAGGCACCATCTGACAAAGGCTGCCATTAGAGTGATTGCCATCAGATCATACAGCTGTCAGGTCGGCATGGCCAATTTATCTTCCAGAGGCTAGGAGGGGTCCAGAAGTATTTTGACATAAATAAAGATGAGGTCAAAGAGCTTTGCAGCAGGCCTGCAATTTAGCAGATGCCAGCAGCAAAATCTCTAGACATGTATTATGCTGCTTACCCTGGAATAGCTTAAGCTTGTATATTAAACTTGTTGTATTAAGTATCTAGATATTGAACAGAATTCAGGAAAATTTGAGAACTGTTGTATCTTCATTTTTTGAAGTATTTAACTAGCTAACTCAGCTCTATTAATGTGCATAAATTCATGTGTTTAAATCAGGAGATTAGGCAATCTCCATTATTGGTGGTGCGCTTTTCTGTGATTGGGGTGTTTGGTTTAACCATGGGCACTATGGGCTATATGTTGTGGTTATACTTTAATCCTTGTGCACTGTCCAGAGTCACTGATGTGAAATGGGTGGTCATAAAGCAATTTCAATAAATAGGGGAATAGCAAATTTTCATTTTCATATTCCTACCTGAATATTAAGTAGATACCAAGAGAAAAAAAGCTTCTTCAAAAGCTCTGAATGGATAGATTCCAACAAGTTTGTCTTATCTAGCACCACAAATATGTCATCTAGTGCATAGCATTTAATTACCTGTTCTGAGATAGATGCATTTTATTAAGCATTTGGTAGGCTAAAATGTCTATCTAAACATAAGAAAAATCTTGTTGGATTACATGAACACCTACAAAATCTCAACTGCTGTTGCCCATAGTGATTAACCAGATAATGGCTGGGAAAATCATAAGCAAGACCTGATGTTCAGAGAATGCATTGATTTGATTCTGGAAATAACTATAGCCATCATGACAAAAGCCAATGAAAGATATATGGCAGGATACCCAAATGTTATGGCCTTTAATTTGGTGTGCATCATATTAGATAGGCAACACACAGAGGCTGCCCTGGTCAGTTATTTGGATCAAGTCTGACAAACATAATAACCCAAAAAACAGTACACAGTACACATGGTCAAGATTTAATTTTGGGCCCATGGTTGTTCATTTATGCTACTATTTTGACTATCTTTTAAACTGTCACTTTATAAAATTAAAGCAAACTCTACTCTGTATTACTTATTTAAGAAGAATAAACTCTTCTGACAAAGTGCAGAAAGTCATTACTGCACATGTATACAATATTTATTGTTGGAAATGAATCAACTGATATAGACCACATTTAGAAATGTAAAGCTGTTACTCTTCCCATATGATTTATTTGAATTCTCAGAAGTAATTTAAGCATGACTACCATTGATGCTCATTATTCTTTCCAACATGCAAAAGGCACAATAAAGTGAGAAATATGACTTTTGTGCAAAGTGTTTTCTAATAAAAATACACAACAAGAAAAATAATAGGAAAAAGTCCCCCAAAAGGAGCGTGGGGTGTCAAATTTCTTGAAAATTATTTAGAACTAATGAAAACAGTTATGTTCTTAAGAGTCCACAGAGGTTCCATTGGTGAAAGACACTTGGCAAATTCATGGAAGCAAGCTGGAGACAAACTCATTGATGAATCAGAATTTCATCTGTGAAATTAAGTACTCTAACCAGAGAAAACTATAAGACATAATTAAAAATTGTAAAAAAAAATCAAGAGAATTATAGTCCAAATGCAAGTTAATTAAAAAAAAGATGTAAACAAATTGAAAATACAAAGAAAAAAACCTCATCAATTTATGCTAAAACTTCACAAACTATTGTGATCAAACTCACTGCATCTGTTCTATTTGTTTTTTAATCCTTTTTTAAGCACAACACAAAAATAGCTCATAGAAAAATCCTTGTTATTTGTATTTGTAAGGGAAATAATGTGCTATGTGATTGAGAAATTTGTGGAAAAATTTAGAAGTGCCACAGGGAATCCCATTTTTCAGTTTTGTAATTCATTTGCTAGTTGTTTCCTGGTGGTGCTTGACTGTGCTAAAAGGCTGTTTTGTTCCACAGTGGGTATATAAACCTACCCCACCATTTATAGATTTGTAATATTGACATCTACAAAAAGGCATTGTACAAGTTGAATATTTTTGTTCACTTGTGTCCTTGCAGTATAGGCTTCCTACTTCTAGACTATGGAATGTTACATTAACAGTATAGTTATTCATATTGGTTTCAAATTTCCTTATAGTTACTGAAGATTCATCATAGTTTCACACAGCACAGAGACATCAAACTAAACATCAAAACAGCTGGCACTAGATATATTTTTTCTTTAGATACCAATAAGCAAAATATCCCATCCCCCCTAGAGATCCCATGAGGAAGGAGGCCCCAAAAAAGGACGGAGGTTTCCGTTTGACCAGCCTAAATGCATTGGGTACCACTGCTGAGAGGAGTGTAGTATGGATGTCCCCCAAGACTTTCCTGAAGGCAAAACGTTTTTGTATCCTTTCAAAGAAGTTCAGTAGGTTGGGTCTGCTGCCATCTTCCCAGTATTTCTTTGAGAGTCCTAGGAACTTGAGGCGGTGTAATGTGGCTCCCAGCAAAACATCAGCCAAGGTGAATGCACATCCACAAAGCCAGAGTTCACATTTCTGCCCTAGGGAATGAAGCCACAATAATTATGTTGCATTGGAAGACATAAACCAAATGCTGCAATTCACCCTTACTTCATTGGCTTTTGATGGGGATCAATTAAATTGTCTTCTAGTAATAGTTCTCTGGCAGCTACCTGATTCAATATTTAGTTAGTTGGCTGCCCCTCATTACAATGGCTGACACTTGGACATGCAGCTGGCAGGCATCTCCTTGTGAAAGAAGTAGAAGCAGTTTGAGCTCTATAGACTCTGATGACTTTTAAAATTACACAGATACCCTTTATGCCCACCAGGACTGACAGGTGCAGAAATTACAAATGTCATACTGTATTTAAGTAGAGAAGAAAGGGCAACTGAAAGGAGCCACTTTCTTTTTATAGAAGACTGCTAAAAAACTCAAGGACACCAGTTCTCTGCTATATGAGTAGTGGTTTATTTAACTCATGCTAAGTTCTTTTCCCCATGGGGAGGAAAATGGAAGGGAAACATTTAAAGTGTGATTGAGTTTTGAAAAAGGATTGGCTGTATCAGTATTTTTCACTTAAGAAAGTAAAACTGATCAGTTAAGATAAAATTCCAAACATCACTTTAATATTTTGGATTACTGGACTATTGATTTCAGTGGACAGAAAGAAAATGCAGTCAGGTAGGATGCTATGAGATGAAAAACTGGATGAACAAGTGAATATTTTGCTCAGAGATTTTAAAAGATCTGCAAATTCCCAAATGAAAGAAGTATCCAGGTGTTCTCCCTAATTCATGAAGAGAACTTTTGACTTTTAGCAGAAAAAGTCTTTTTTTTTTGGAAAAAAAAGTAGAATAAAAAACCTTCTTCTTTGCTTAATTTCTTCAAAATGCACCATTTGGGGCTTTTTGTTTTCACGGAGCTCCAGATATTTGTTGGCAAATTAGGGATTATTAGATCATAGTAGGTGGTAGCCCTAAATGACTTTGGTTATCTCAGGAGGGTCTATCCTAGTTAGGTCTTGAAGATAAAGGACCATCTGGAAAGTAAAATACCATCCTGGTAGGGGATAACATCCATTCCGTAACAGTTCTAAGAAAACGGCATGTATGCAGTCACTAGGAGCTGAGCTTGATCCAAGGCCCTCCTTAACCAAACCCTAACACAGTGGTTCTCAACCTTTTTAATGCCGTGACCCCCAACCGGTCGTAAGTCGAGGACTAAACCGGTCGTAAGTCGAGGACTAAACCGGTTGTAAGTCGAGGACTACCCAACCGGTCGTACGTCAAGGACTTTCCCTGCCCGGGAGCGCCGCACATGTGTGGTTCCGCCCCCTGTGCCGGCCGAGGCATAGCTGGCAAGCGGCAGAGAGGGAGGAGGCCGACCACCAGCTGGCCCAGCCCAAGGGAGGTAAGGCACCCGCCAGAAAAAGGGGAAAAAATGGCAGACAGCCTTGCTTGGCGACCCCCGTGAAATGGTCGATCGACCCCAAATGGGGTCGCGACCCATAGGTTGAGAACCGCTGCCCTAACATTTTAGAATGATATAAAGATACAGATATAAAATTGAGATTTCACAAACAAGACTGGGCAAAAGATGGAATAAGAATCAATGGCACCTGTTTAAATCACTTAAGATCTTCTCTTCTCACAAGACCCAGAATATAGATATAGATATAAATATAGATATAGATATAGATATAGATATAGATTTGGAGAGGAACTAGACATAGTAGACCACTACATATACCTTGGCCAACAGATCTCAATGGAAAGTGATACAATAAAGGAAATTGAATGGCATGTGGTTGGCAGGCATACAGCAAGCTAAGCATAATTTTCAAGAACAATCTCCCCCTATGCATGAAGAGAAAAGTTTTCGATCAATGTGTGCTGTTCTAACATATGCCAGGGAAACATGAACACTAGCTTCACAATCAATACAAAAGCTACGAATGGCACAAAGTACCATGGAAAGATACATTATCAGCATTACAAGACAAGATAGAAAGACCTCCACATGGATTAGAGAACAAACGAAAATATACAATATCATCAAGAGAATAAAAGAATTAAAATGGAAATGGGATGGTCACAAAGCAAGAAGAACTGATGGCAAGTGGACCAAGGCAGTCAAAGAATGGATCCCACTTGATAAAAAGTATACACAAAAGAGACCTAAAACAAGATGGATTGATGACATCAGCAAGTATTGCAGGTCCAATTGGCAAAAAAAAGTTCAGGACCATATTGGTTGGAAACATGTGGAAGAGGCCTTCATGCTGTAGTGGATAGACAATGGCTAAAATGATGATGATGATGATGATGATGATGATGATGATGATAAAACTGAGATTAGCTGGAAAGCAAACAGTCTGGCAAAAATGCAGAGAACTTATCCAAATGGTTGACCCTTCCTTAAAATAATTAATTAGCTTTTATTAGACACCTTGTAAACCTAATGTTCCAATTTTGTTGCCCAGATCTCTTCAATAAAATAGTTGGCAGCTAACTTGCATATGCTTATGTTCAAAAAGGAAGAAAAGAAGACCTGGGAACTTGATGTTAACACCAGGCAAAACTCTGTAACAAATTATTAAATAGTTGATTTATGATAATTCAGAAAAGAATGCATTGCTTGGCAAGACTCAGAATGATTTTACTAAGAACAAGTCATGCCAAATTAATTTGATTGACCAATTTAGAGGACACAGCGTTCCAAGCAAAGCATCTGACAAAGTTTCCCATGAGATTCTAATAGAGAATGTAGCAAAACATGAGCCTGACTATTTCACTGTGGATATAGAGCTGGTGAAATAATTCAGTAGCTTTGCATAAAATTGGAAAGAGATGATGAATGATGTAGGACTCCATCCTAGACTTTGTATTGTTCAGCATATTTATAAATTGCTTGGATAAAGGGTTAGAAAATAACAATATAAATTTTCAGATAACATGATTGGAAATTGTGCTATTGGAATAAGAAATACTTCAGAAGATATTATCAAGGTTCAGAAGCATTTTGACTAAGTGGAATGTTGAATAGAATTTATTCTTTAATTTTAACTAACTAAACAGCGTGTGATGTATAACTAAGCAATGTGTGATGTATTTGTGGGGAAAAAAATCCTAGTATATCTTAAGAAAAGCAAAAAGTCAAGATTAGATTTGTTGGATACAAGATGGGCAGCAAATAAATTTCATAAATAAATATTAAAATATGTTATCATATCGCTTTCTCTATTTAAATAAGAAAATATTTATAAATCAGAACAAAACTGAGATGTAGAAAAGTCTACATTATTTCAAACTGATTCACTGTGGACTGTAAGCTACTTTTGATGCAAATATTAATTGTATAGATGATAAGTTAAATGAGTATCAGACACTTCTACAAGTTACAGAGAGAATCAGGAAATAATGTTCAAATGAACATAATGCGTACCTTGATATTCAATTTTTCTCTTCTCCAGTTCAGCTTCAATTTGATCTAGCACCATTCCCAGATCTCCCAGGATTTTCTTCAGATAGTTTACATTGTCGTGCTCCAAAATTTTGGCCTAAATGAAAATAACAAAGGTCTTACTGCAAAAAAAAAAAAGCTTACAAAGTAATGATTACCCAATTAAATGTAGTGTGTGTGTATATATATATATATATATATATATATATATATATATATATATATATATATATATATATATATATATATATATGTTTTTTGAGGTTTTCACGGGTGTTTATATGTGAGTCTTTGGTCATTTGGGTTTTCTCCCGTGTAAGATTAGAAGTATCATAGCGACGTTTCGATGAAATCACATTCATCATCATCAGGCTTGTGCTTTTAGCTTTGTGCTTCTCAGAATAATATGAAATGTCTGCTGTTTCTTTCTTTTAACTGCCAGTGGGGTTTGAACTGAGGGGGCGGGGACTTGGTCGTGTTCTGAATGGGTGGACGTGTGC